ATCAATATGAATAATAATTTGCAAAAATGGAAATTTACCATTAATAAATCGTTTTAAGAAAATAACAGGTTATCTTTTCAAATTACGCTGGAATAATTAGTACGAATCGATAATTTGATTACCATCTGTGTAATAAATAGTATCGTCATCTTAAAATGTGACTTATTTTTATTTTTTTACATTGTAAAGTGAGAAGTATGTAGGAAACGGGAACTAATATTATCAGAATATCAAATATGAAAATATGTTCACGAGTATTTTCAACTATAGGCAACAAAAGAACATACGATATCGAAATGTATGATAAAAATAGTGTAATAAACAACAAGCTAACAAAAAAGAGCACACTAAACAACGCTAGTTTTTTAATGAACGAGTTCAGGAGAGAAACTATCGCGTCGAGATAGTTATAAACGAGATAGTCGAGATAAAAATTCCGTTTGATAAAACAAAATTTAAGTTGACAACCACAGAAATTTCGAAATGAAGAAATAAGAAGTGTACATTATTGTGTTTCTATAAACGAAAATAATGTACGCCATCTAGCGCAGAACTTCTCTATTCAATAAGAACAAAGTTTGACATCTTTCTCTTCCCTCAGCATTGGTTTGGCGTAGCTTCGACAAACACTCGATACCAAATCAACCGTGAAAGTTTGGTCGTATTTTATCGAATTTTGATTATCTACGTTTCTTTACCAAGCATGTACAACTTTACTATCAAAAAGTTACATTCAATAATATTCATTCGGAAAATGGAAAAAAAATCGATTGCCTACACTCATCGTCCAAAAAATATTTATAAACCATAATAACAATGATTTCCAAAAGGGCGCGTGTAATGTAGAACTGTGAGAGAAGCATGGACGTAGTTCTAATCTCGAATTGTTTACCAACGCATTGCCTGTATTTGATTAGCTTTTGCGTACCGGATTATATGTGTGGGATACGTTCTACAATGGGTCGCGACGGAATAGAGAGGAACAATCATTGAAAGACACGTCTGGAATCCTCTAATTCCCTGTGGTTTTGTATATCGTGTTCGATCGAAGCTATCAGCCAAAAACCTTGAACTATCATTTTTTTTTAATTTTAAAGCCAGAGTATTTAGACATTCTAATTTTTGATCTCTAAAAGTCAAATCCATCACGTCCCCGTGCGAGCGCAACCGCACCCATTACTCAAACTTTGCGTCCATGTTGGAAATCCGCATAACGCATATACTTCATTACCGTGCATCTAATTTTTCAAAACTTGTTTAACGTTCTCGTAAAAGATTCGCAACATGTTTTCGCTGTCGGAACAAAAGCTGCTTTCAAAACTACGAAATTCCGAACGGCCATTAGCCGACGGCAAATAAAATTAGCCGAATGACAAAAGTTGTAATTGCTGCTTTTGAGTGATTAACTTGCAACTGTTGGCTCTAAACGCACTGTGTTTAGATAATCTTCCGAGCAGAAGGGTAAGGTATCCAGCAAGAAATACAAGCATGGAATGATTGGATAAGCTACGTCTGACGATATAGCGATCTGAAAGATGGTTTTTCACTTAAGCTTCTTCACAGCACGGATCTTTCAGCGGAGCGACGCAGCCGCGCGTGTAGCCCGAGGACGACCTCCTTATTTATTTACGACAAGAACCCCCACAAGCCTGTCTTACGAGCTGCAAACGAAAACAAACGGCACAGGAGCTCCCTCCTCGTCGTCGCTCAAAATATTATGTGCCACGCGAAGCAACTTAATTATCATCTCTTTGCCTAACGCTGCTTCGCGGTAGAATTCATTTGCGCTAAGACAACAAAAGAGAACGTGACGTTTCTCGTTCACGAAATGTGGCTTCGTGAGCTTGTAACCGGATTGCGTAAGCATTGATGTAACGCAATAGAGTCATTGTTTTCATTCGTCAATATTGCTCCGACGAATCTATAAGTCGTACATGCGACATTATCACTATGTGAAAAATCTTTACACCCTGGTAGCCATCTAAACTGCATTTTAGCTACCTGTGCACTCGAGGAAATTAAGGCATCACGAGTGATTTGCATAGGAACGACGGACAGTTCGCGCTGCCGCAACAGTTGTCTCAATCGAAGGGTGTTACCAACTCTTTACCCCAGTATATGATGCAATGTAGCTTAATGATCAAGTTACTAACGAGTATTCGGACAAGTTAGCTATAGCGAGGAGGAATGAAAAAAGTTCGTGCTCTATCGACTGGTTCATTCATTTATCTCGAGAGCTGACACGCGAGGCGACCTATCACGACCTATTCATCCGATGGCTGCTGATTGTGTCGGCGAATACTTTTTATTTTTAGCGCGTTATGGACCGACTCTCGTTAGAACTGCTTTTAGAAAGAAATAATTTCAACAGACCCTCTCAGTTTTATATAGATACATCTTCTTTTCTTATGCAAACGCATCAAATACGAATATATGTTTTTAATGGATTTGTTGACTCAAGTTTTGAGGGAAAAATAAATAAATGGAAAGCCGAGGAAAAAGGTTAATTTATAAAGAGATTTGCTGTAACGAACGTGCTGATTTTTATGCAAAGAAGGGCACTAGTATATATCAAAATCGAATCTGGACCTAGCAGCCTCCAAAGGCAAATAGTATTTCGCTAATTTTCATACCACTACCAATTTTCCATGGTTTAAAAACAAAAAGAGTTAAGAGCTGACCATTAAAGCTCTTATCTCAAGCACGTAAGAACATCATTAACTCTCCAACTTGTAAATGCGATCATGAGTACCAGGATGCTGATTATTTACTCAAGCATTACCCTCAATTTATTAAACAACGTTCAAATTCGTATATAAGTCTTAAGATTAACACGATTTCAATCAACTGTGATTAGACTTCTATTTTGCACGGTCTTAATGTTTTTGTGATTTAGATTATTATGAAATTCTTCAACAAGTATGATTTAAACTTATAACGCCCGTTTCTTCTTTTTATTGTAAATATTATTTATGTATACTTTTTGTATTTGGTAGTGTAGACCTCTTGTGGTCTGAGTACGCCTAATTAAATAAAAAAAGGTCAGTTTGTAAATGATATTCATGAACTTTTTGCATAAATAATTTTCAATCTACTTCAATTCCAACAGTTAAATGTAACATCTCAATTTATTTTGAACTTTTGTAACTTTTTACCGTGAAAAGTAGAACATTTTTCCGTTCGGAATAATATTAAGGTCATTGAGAGTCATAAGATAGAAAAATAATTAAAAAAAATAATAAAATAATAATAATAATAAATAATAAAAATAAAAGAAAATAATAAAAAAATAATAAAAAAAAGATGAGTAGGTTCTTAATGCTGGCGTGTAAAAAGGTAAAAGAAATTCGAGCGATGGTTTTAAAAATTTAAATTCATACAACTAACTTTTTTATACCGATCAAAAGTTTATTGAAATTCATCTCTCTCCAGAACTTGTTAAGCACGTACTTCATACTTTACGAATGAATTTTCAGATATTCATTCCGTCAAAGCAATGAGAAACGTCATAATCTTTCCAACACTTAGCAGTTTATTTTTTTTTTAATAAACTATAATTCACTTTCAATTTTAATTTCGCTCAGTTCGCGCGACTCTTTAACTTGGGACAAGCGGTAATGTATACGTTAGGGGTTGTCGAAACATCAACGTGGAAATTTGATGGCAATCGGCTCGTGAAAAATATCGTGTTACGAATTTCGACGGGACAATCAGAGTAAAGCTCTCACGCACGCCGACTGCTGCAGATAATTTCATTTTGAGAATTATCCCGGATTTTCATGGCACTGGATAATGTATATGGCTTTTTTAAAGGTATTTGTCGCATGTTCGCAGTATCTTTTGCATGCGAGTATTTGGGATTTAACGTTTCATTTTTTATTTTTGTTTATTCTATATATTTTTATACTTAAAAGGCCTTTATATTCGGCATTGCGAATGTGTGGCAGCAAAAATATTCAATGACTAACATTTTATTTGAAAAGTCAAACAAGCCTTCAATTATTCATCTACAATTTCACTGTTTATGCTTGATATTGATTCTGTAAATTTTTGCAAAACTTGTACGAATAACACCTTTTTAACGCTTTTTTTTCAAGATATTAATGAAAACACTACCAGGCTTAGAATTTAATATCTTAAGCTTTCCTTCTCATCTAACGCAAGGAGATGACAAATGATAAATATTTCAAATACTTCAGTAAATTACTTGTAGTCCAGATAAAGAGTTGAAAATTCAAACTTTCCTAAGAAAAAAAAATATGTTTTCTCTCTTGTTATACGCTTTGTCGCTTTCAATATTTTAAAAATCTAACTACAGAGTTCTCTTTGTTAGAATCGCAAGTGAATCTCTTAAACAAATTACTCAGTTATTTTTGTAAAGTTTTCATCGATGCTCATGTATGTTCAATTCATTCATGTTGAAATTCGCTTAAATGCATTAGTTACTATATAAACGGAAAATATCATCAAAAAATTACCATTTCATTCTATTAATTCGTTTAATGTAACATTTACTTGTTGCATAATTAGGACGCTCTAACTTGGCATGGAAGTCGAACGAAGAAACTTGCAGGATGAAGCCAGCGCAATAAATGTTGGATCTCCTTGAAATGAAGTTTCCACGTCGAAACGGTTTTGTAAATCTTTGCATAAAGAATTCTTTTCTGGAATGTCAAATTGGTTTGCGAATACTGATTCGACGTTCCTCAAAACGGAAATCCCCCTGCGGCAGAGTTGCGAAACTGTCAACAGAATTAAAAAAAAATTGAAAAATAAAAATAAACTTCCGTTTGGTTGCAAGTCGTTGTAAAGCAAACTACCAATGCTAGATTATTTACCGTTGGTACAGAAGCAAGCGCGCCGCTATGTAATGCCAGCCACGTAAAACAAAACACAGAAAAAAGCCGGGATACAGCTACGGGCGTTGCCAAGCTGTAGGACGAAAAGGCATACATTAAGTATTGAACGCATTGTATAATTCTGTTTCTCTGGGAATCTAGATGGCGAGGTCTGTCACCCGTACAAGCCATTCAAATGCCCGGAGGACAACACTTGCATCTCGATCCAGTATTTGTGCGACGGCGCACCAGACTGCCGCGAGGGCTACGACGAGGACCCAAGGCTTTGTACCGCCGGTGAGTGCACATTACACACCTGCCATTTCTTACTTTTTCTTCCGTTTCCTTCTAACGACAGCTAATGTCAAACCAAAGAACCTTCTCCCCTACTTTAGTTTCGATATTTACTTTTACGAGAGCCCGTTCGACAATGAGAGACAGTGGATACATACATTTATCAAACTTTTAAGGCAATTCTCTACCTAAAAATCCATCTACTTATTTGATGAAAACCTCTAAACAAATTTTCATTCAAAATGTCCAATCGCGAATAAACGAATGGATGTAATAGATATATGTATCATAACGGTTTCTCGTGGATAATGTGGAGTTTGCTTTTACAAAATTTGTTTCTTTGGCTTCTTGTTTTTCTTTTTTTTAGTGGAAATATCTATCGTGTCAAAGTTTTTATCGATAAATTATATATCATTCAGCATGCGTTAGTTTTTCAAAAAACTGGTTAAGCCATTATCTTGAATGTCCACTTGAACAACTCTACAAATTCTTCGGGGTGTATGTAATTAATATTGCGCATATGAATGAAGAAAATATCACGAAGAAAATATCATTGATTTTCCTTCGAAATAATATAAAATTCCAATTCGTAGCAACGACATTTTACGACACAATATTGGTCTAAGCTGGTGACCATAACGATTAGACGTACTTCGCGAACAAGGTGCAACTGCTGTAACCATAAACAGTAAATAATTTGCATGGACCCTCAATTATCTACCATAAAATACCTTTAATGCGAGAATCTCGGTGCACTGATTAAGATTAGTTGTGTCTCGATTTAAGTTCCAACTTGATCGTTATCTCGCTCTCCAAAGATCCTTTGTAAAAGCACTTTACAAACACGATCATTGCTAGAATTAAAATAAATTTATTGCGCGTTTTAACTCCAATAATTCTTACCCGAAAATTCTTTAGTGCAATAGTATTCAGAAAGTTACATAAAATATTTCGTTCAAGAGTTTCCGCGAAACTTGTACTTATATATAATTTATGATACTTCCGCTTCTGAATTTTCATATACTTATCAGGCGAAATTTCATCACGACAAAATTGCAAATTTTCGCTAATGGGAACAGCGTAGCTGACGTACCTGCACCTACAGAGTTTGCAATTTAACGTTAACAGTGGAAAGCTCGTCCGTAGAAGCATGTATGCAATCGCACCCACGTATATTCACATACAAGCTGTACATAGCTATATAACGTACGTAATCCCAGTTGCGTAAACCATTGGGGAATTTCAGGGTCGACTGCGTTTCGGCACACGAGCTATTGAAGCGCCAACACATGCTGCTTTTTTCGAGGTATCAGTTGTGATTGAGTGGATTTATTGACGAATAAAAAGTATTTTCCATTGATTGGAGATCGAATAAAATTTCGGAAACTTTCAATAAAAATTAGTTAGAAGCTTGTCAAGTATCAATTAAAAGATTTCATTTCTAAAATTTGGTGGTAAAAATAGACTAATAAAGCAACATTGTACGACTAGATTTTATTGCATTTAACGCGAATAACAATAACAACATTTCAGTTGTGACACCAACAGCATAAATTGCAATTAGCACTGATAAATGCATCAGTGACTTTTCTTAACTTTTTACGTCAACATTTATTAAAAGCCGTTCTCGCTTTTGATCTACCACCCATGTACCATATTTAATGAGATAGCTGTGAATACTGCGTTAAAAGTGTAAGATATTTTAGAATGATGGTTGACGATCGACAATCGCATTACAAATAACAAGTTTGACTAAATCTTTATTCTAGTTCAGTATATTCTGTCTTTCGATTTCCCACGGGTTTTTCACAGGCCATTTTTCGATGCACCGATATAGACCGCATACTGTAGCCAAGTCCCTCAAGTCTCCTTACGAGTTTTGCCAAAAATTGGCCCATAAGAGGATTACGTAAAAACATACGGGCAACTGATTATATTCAAGTTATTCCATGTATGAAAGGATCTCGATGTATATGCGCGTCAAGGTCCTTTGGCTTTTTTTTCGAGAATGTATGTACTTTTGAATGGGCAAAAGTGGTGACCCAGTTTCCGGTCTATTTGGACGTTTCTCTTCTGCTGCATTCGTAATTCGTACACGCAAAATTAGTCGCAACATCATTTCCAAGCAACGTTTCCCGCTGAGGATTCGCAATGCGTGATTCCATATTGTTGTTGAGCTTAATGAACAGCGATGCTAGTCTTTTACGAAAGAAAGAAAAATATTGACTTCCCGTTTGGTTAACGTTACACACTAATCGATTATTCGAATAAACACTCTACAACGTTGCAATTTGGACGTTATTCAAATTGCGCTTATTGTTCGTAAATCATTGATTGCAGCAGCTGATTGGCGGGGGCTTAATTGCGAAGCTGTATTATTTCGTCTTAAATTTTTACTCTAACTTTCTTCCATTTTCGTTTTCGCTTTTCTTCGTGAACATTTTTGAAAGAATTTGGCCACCCATCGAATTTTCGATTTCTATAAATTACGAACTATAAGCATTATATAGCACAATAGCTAATTGCAATAACACGCAACAAAACACATCCATCATACTAAAGCACTTAAAGGTGCCAAGTCGTATAATCTCAATTCACTCAACGACACGATCACGACTGCAAACCTGACCTTGATTATACACTCGTTAATTACTCGACTTTCCGATTTCAAATCTAATTTTTCAAACGACCTTAACTCTCAGAGGCGGCGTACGTGTGATTTTTTCTGTTTTATGTGTCAGACAACGAGTACAATTGTGTCAATAAAACGAGGATAGTCGATGTTTATCTTTGTTTTTTGCTACGACTCTTCTCTGTGTTCTTGCACTGTTTGTCATGGGAGAGAAAACAATTACCCGAACTATTTTACTTAAGGATTTTTTTGTAATTAACGCTTATGCTTGTTGTTTGTACTGAGGGATGGGCGTACTGCGAAATGTTTAACTGCGGGGTGGAAAAGGGGATGATGCTGGAATGAAAAGTTCATTGAATAGAAGTAGATAATTAATGTGTGCCGTTTCTACTGATGGATAGTGTAAACCTACTTTCAAATGTTTTCAAACCTGAACAAGCATACATTTTTCAACAAAGATTATTTCGATTAGAAGTTGCACAATCACTTTAAATTAAAAAAGTATTTTGGAAGATTACAGTAATATGCTATGCTAGAAAATAAGTTTTTAAATCAATATTGATGAAAGAAGTGTGCTTTTTTTGTATGATAAGTTACGTATGGCAATGTCTTACTTGTGACTGAGCACACTTTGAAAAATAATCTAAACAATAGCTATGCATAACTGATATAAATTAATTATGTTTAAGTAGATAGAGTTGAAGAGTTGAAAATTCAATTTCAGAAAAGTGGAAAAAGCAAATTTTAAAGATGTATACTTTATTGAGATATTATTCGTCAAAGTGTCAGAGAGTTTTTCATTTTATAAACTTGATTCATAATTCTACTTGTGTGATTGCAGTTCTATGCACCGTCTTACGGTCGATGTCAACAAATAAACGACAATTACAATAGCTTATATAGAACCAATTTATCATAAGGATTTTCATATTCTACATCGTTTTTAATATTTGCCAAATTTTACTACATAGTTGATTTTATATCAAAAGATAAAAACATTTGAGCACAGACGATTCGATTTAATTAAACAGTAATTTATATCTAATCGCGACACACTTCCCAAAAATAGATTCATAAAATATAGGTATACAAATTTAGAAAAAAATTAATCAATATGAAATAACGGGGATCATAAGTAAAATGAGAGAAGCCCTGTCGTTAGAAAAAAGAAAAAAAAATGAGAAACTCGGCGTCAAGTTTTTAATTGGCAGTAAAAGTACATGTACTGGTAAAGTGGCCTGCGGTACTTCAATATCTTGTTTCGCTCTCTCGCACAGCTAGTCAGGCGTTCTATCGTATACACCACTAGGAATTCGAAATGCGTCTCCAGACAAGTTGCTTCTTGCTCCAACGAAAAATTCAAGAAAATTATGATTTGCGTGACTATTATATATTACGCAACCTAGGAAGAATTTACTTCGCATTGCATCTTGATATATTTTGAATAAGGTTTTCTCGAATGATAATCGCAGAATGATAATTCTTTTTCAAATTCAAAGCACCAACGGAACTTTCATTTATTTGTAATATCTTTCCAGCATAAAAATGTTTTGACGTAAACAAAAAGCATTTCCCTGGACGCTCGCTTTAATTGAAATTCAACCTTATTATTTTTAAAACAATTACTCTTACAGATTGCAATTAAAAAATTTCTTAAATTTTCATTTTTGTTGCTTTATACTCATGAATATCCAAATACCTACGCATATCTTTTGTCAAGCATTTTCCTCTGAATTTATTCTTTTCTCTTGCAAAAAATGAATAATAACTTAACAAAAGCCAGCAAACTCTCATATTTCACTGAATTGTATTTTTGCTCTGCAGCAGCCGTGCAACTACAACAAAACTAGCGAACAATGTGCATTTCTTACGCGCAACTGCGACAAGAAAGAAAATCATTCTCAGCCATGCGCATTTAGATACGCGCTCGTGACGCGTGTGAGTAAAACTGCCATTTGCACGACACATAACTACAAGCGTTTTGCGGTGAAAAATAAAGTCAGATACGACTGCGCGACCGAAAAAACTGAGATTTTTTTTTCGAAACCGTGTTACCATTAGCCAGAAATATCGTTACAAAACTTTTTTTCCTCGCTGTCCGCAAAGTACATACGTTGAAACTGTTTCCTGGTGTTCGACTATCCAATATCGACCTGCAGTCGATTCCGTTTTTCCAATACAGTTTTTGTTTGAGTCTAATCGAAAAATTTCATAAGCAACGCAAGCGGCTTTTGTTAGGTCTGATGAATTTTTCAATAAAAAAAGACTGATTTCATGAACAATTCGCTGATGTTTGCCACTATGACAAATTTTTTTCTATTTTTCAAAATTCGTTATGAAGATAGCATTCTGTTCGACATTTTCGAATTTTATAAATAAAATTCGGCATTAGATTAGAAGTGCAAAAATCAATGATGCAGTCACGCAAATTATTCCCATTTACATAAATCAACAGGAAAAAATAGCCTCGTTTATTCTCATTTGCAAAAATAGCGTCTACGCATTCAGTTGGCGGAACAGCGATATAACAAAGATCTGAAAAAAAAAATGAAAGCGGACTGCTCGTTTTATGGGGGTAACAATGCTTTATACAGCTGAATGAAAATCCAAATGACCGCGCTGGAGCTCGCACGGTAACTTTCACTTAGTTTTTATTTTGAAATTTTTTTTCCTCCATGTTATTTAACGCCCCGCGCAAAGCTTACAAACGATGAGAGATGCTTTTTGCTCTGAATATTTTTTTCCTTGTTGCAAAATCAAGTAGGAAATAACACAAGTGTTTTGAATGCAAACGTAAAATCTGTGCTTGTTCGGTAACAACAAGAAGCTTATTTATAGCGGGTATGTTTAACGATTTTATTAAAATATGCAGGATGTTTTGGAAACAGTGTAAAAAATAAATATTTCACACTGACGACGAATATTAATTGAATAAATAACACGGAAAAAAACTACCCGTCAGAGATCCCGTATAAAAAATAAAGTATTGTCTCATAGACGTTTTCGATTTCGTTAGGTAGGTCGAACATAAGTCACGTCCTTTTTCATTCCCCGTGTGAATCATTGATGCTGCCGTCGGAAAATAAATATGCTAACGGCGCCACGTAGCGCGTACAAAAAAGATATACACACGTACAAAACGACGCATACGTGGATATAAATAAATTACCATAATCATTCTGTTTTGTGAATATAAAAAGATGTTTAACAATATTGAGAAAAATGTTTAACCTGTGAAACAAAAAACACTTTCTGTGAAAGTGATCTAGATTATTTTGATATCGATCTGTTATAGTGCATGATGGTAAATTAAATATCTTGAATTGTTTTTTTAAAGCATCTCTATAAATTTATCATCGATATTGCGATAAAATATTCTGATGCATGAATTTGAATAATCCATTCTGGATTAAAAGCTTTCCATTGAATTATCGTATCTGTATTCGTGAAGTACTTTAAACATACATTAACGATAAGTATATTTTACGTAAAATCGTACGTAAAATTCTACAAGCGATTCATTTCCTCCGACGGAAAATTCAGAGGTTTATTTTCTATTTTCTAAGCTTCTTTCCTATTTTGAGTAATGTGGAAAATGTAGGCGTCCATTTAGAATGAGATTACACTCAATTACGAAAACATTTCACAATTAATGTTCCACAACAAAATTAGTCCGTCGTACAAGACTCGACCTTCATTATTCAAAATTAACCGTGGCAGTCTCTCAATTAAACCCACAAATAGTTTAATTGTGGGTTGGGTTCCAACGCAATTTCCAAGTTGGAATAACATACATTTTTAAATCTTGACTGTAAAAAGAAAACCAATCTTTTCACTATCTTTGACCTATCGAAAATTGAATGTTTCGAAATTAGTTAACCTGGAATCATTCCAAAAATTGCATTTGGAAATGTTGCAGCAAAAAGACCACCTGTGGAAGAGACTGCGAGCTTCTTGCAAGCCTTGCTGGCAAGTCACGGTCCAAATTACCTCGAGAAGTTATTTGGCAGCAAAGCTAGGGATGCACTCGCGCCTCTCGGTGGAGTGAACAAGGTCGCCATCGCCCTATCGGGTAAGCTTCGTCTTATAAGTGTGTGTGTATGTGTGTGTGTGTATCGCTGTAGCTTTAAACGCGCGCTACACTCATTCGTTTTTTTCTTTTTTTTAATTTACGCTTTGCTTTGCTTTTATTTTAAGTTACGCTCGTTACCTTTGTGTTGCTTCTGTACGCCGAGAAAGTGTCGAGAAGAGTCTATTCAAATTATGATTTTCAAACGCTAACGAATTACCTGCATTAAGCCAACTTTAAATTGATGCTTCCTGTATACCTATTCTAACCTTCTCGATAGAATGGCTTGTTTTGTCAAGAGGCAAACGTATTTTTGGTTTCATTTGTATTCATTTTAATTAAAAAAGTTTATTAAACCAAAACTTAGCATCTTAGTATCACAGTATAACACCACATCATAAACTTTCATTTTTTTAAGTACCCATTATATTATCTTTTTCAGCACTTATTAAAGCATATACGACTGTTCACTATCTTGCACAATATTAGGAAAAGAGACCTTTAGACATATGAGTGCTACCAAAAAGTGAGAAAATATGTAGCACGCAAAAAAAAATTAAGTACTCGTATTTATGTTTGAAGATCGTACAAACGATTTCCTATCGCAAATTGGCGATAAAGACTATCATATGTCATTTGTTTCTCTTTTAAGAGTCGCAAACGATCGAGGACTTCGGGGCAGCGCTGCACCTGATGCGTTCGGACCTCGAGCATCTGCGCTCGGTCTTCATGGCAGTGGAGAACGGCGACATTGGCATGCTCAAATCTCTCGGCATCAAAGATTCGGAGCTGGGCGATGTGCGGTTCTTCCTGGAAAAGCTTGTCGACACCGGCTTCCTCGACTAATGGAAACGTATGCATTTGAAACACGTCGGCTCGACGCCTCGGCCGCGCGTTTTTTAACCATCATGAGCAAGTCCGACGCGCGTGCCGACGCAACCAGCCACGATCCAGGAGTGAGAACAGCTCATCGACCAGCTCCCTTTTCTACCCGATGCCGAATTACCATTTTCAAGCTTAATTAATGCCACCGCACACTCAACCACAAGAAACACTCAGAACAAGCATGGGGATCATGCTGGAGTGAAAACACTGGCGATCGCAATGTTACCGACCGAGGCGCAAGAGCTTGTACGCAACAGGTTATTGGTCAACGATGATCTGTATCTACAGATCTGTGGTGAATATATCTACCGGAAAAACAGAACTCGTCGACGTACGTGGTGTTGGACGAGAATGAGTTTTTCTCGATGAATGCATTTGGTATGCGAATCTCGAATGTTCCCACTCGGGCGCTCTGATAGAAATTGCAAAAGTTGTCCAGATTTTGCGAATTCTCGAGGAGTGCTTGAGTCCCGAGTTCGAGATTTTGATGCTGGCTAGTCCTACAGTCGTGTAACGACCTTCACCTTGTATTCTACTCCAGGTGACTTGCAAACACACATATGTATGCATCAACAGGAATGGCATAACGAAAAAGCGATAACGTAGCGGTTTAATTTGATGGATGGCGTGGATGTGAATCATTTATACGAGATATGAACACTGAATGTGCGACGTGTTATAATTGTCAGTGATGTGTTTTGGAGTGAGCTGATGATGAAATGGAGATGGTAAATGTTACGTATGAAAAGGCTCGTTACTTGATCGACCGTGTTGATCTACTATCGACGTTAATAAAAAGTATTTATAATTTTATGATTTCGATGATTTGTCAATAGTAGACATACACGGTTACAATAACGAACAATCGATACAAGGAAGTTGATATTCTGAACACGTAATCGTCAAAAGTAAATGTTATAAAGATTTATTAATAATGTTATAAAAGCAGGTTTCATGAATGACGTCGACGACGCTGAGTCAAATTTATGATAAAACGTAACGTGACGGTGACCGTGGTACATCATGATCAAGCAATCACTATTGTGATTATATCTTACAATTAACCGAACCTGTAGCACGTTTTTGACTCTCTTGTCGGTATTTTGATTCTAATTAATAATTATAACAGCGATCAATTTTTAGATGAATACAAAGTTTTAGATAAAAATGAAAGACTCTATTAATTAAATACATTATACACTTTGAAGAAAATCATATATTGTGTATGAAATAGCTCTGTATTATAAATATCTGAAAACTATTTAGTATAGAGCAAATGCAGTGGAATAAAGATAATCAGATGAGATAAGCTATCAATTGGCGCGACGATTGCATTAACTACACGTAAAGTGAGAACAAATAAATTGCGGGATGAGGATAAGGGCAATTATTACGGATCAGACAGATTTTTTTTTGTCTAATGTCTATTTTTTACCAATTTGTATACTTCAATTCGGAAAATAAGCTTCTTTCATTAGATTTCAACGCTGAATAACCATCCGTCACGCTATTCTTACGAGATTACTCTTCGATTTCTTAACAACCTTTCAACTGGGATTAGTTTCGTTACGAGTTCCTTTTTGACAGAATTTGCTATGCTTTGGGTTTTGTTTTTAACTCCGTGTAGAAAAGCGAAAAAAGCTTAAAATGAAAAATACATTTTTTTTTTTCAAATCAGAACCAACAAAATATTAAGCTTCAAACAATCTTTCGACAATCACTAGTCTGAAACATTTATTTCAGCTTTATTACTGTGCTGAACCCGACAATCCTCTTTACTATTCCTGCTACGACTGTCAAATTACTGAACCAGGATATCAATGAAGTTCTTAACTGTGTACCTTCGCAACTAATTAAATAGTCTAGGGATTAAGTTGATACAGATTAATTAGCAGCTGACATTAATAGCTGGTCGCTTTCGTAAATTGTTATTTTACATATTATTATTTTTGATATTCTTATGATATTTATAGTAATAATTTTGATGTCCTGAAAAAATTGTTAACTTATTTGCTAAAATCTTTTATTTTTCTACCAATCTGATTCTGTGGAAAGGAACGACACAATTTACAAAAATTAAAATATTCTAAATTATATACAATCATTGAACGTAATATTTTAACCCGTATTGAAATTATAATCTTTATTGCTAATACATGTGAAACTAACTTAAAAAAATTTTTAATAGAATTTGAAAATAATTATACAGATGTCACTCCTCTCAACATCGTAAAAAATATAAGGAAAAAAGTATTTGAAAACTCAAAATACCCCAGAAAAGTAAAATATAGAAATTTAGACCTTCCTTATTTATGTAACAGCAATTTTAGGAATGTTATTTCTAGAGAACCACAGAGTTAGTCAAAAAACAAAGCCAAACGTTCCAGCATTTTATGATATCCAGGTCGCCAAAGTAAAAGAGATATAAGAACTTAATGCTTAAAAGGCGTGATAAAAATGGAAGATTTGAACAAAATATTAATAGCCAATCCAACTACAAAGACATATCGTAAAGTATACAATGTATTTATTAATAAATTAATGTTAGTTACTGCTTATAATGCAGGTACAGAGTCAATAGATACAAGAAATACACAATCGTTATTGCTCATCGAAAGGTTTGAAAAATTTACAACGTAATTTCACATTCAAATAAAAATTTATAATATAAACAAACAAAAAAATATTCGATCAATTAGAAACGAACAGCAATGTGATGATGATGAAAATAATTCTAATATATTGAACATATCGTAATTATAATAACAAAAAGGTAAAACATATCACTATGAATATAATTAATTGAATCTTATATATTATTATATTGATATAAATATATATTTCAAATACGTAAAGAAACTTATTAACATATTAGTATGTAGTGGATATTTTGTAGATGGAATTTGAGGATCCTCCCGGCATCAATGAGATTTGTTTAAATTAATGAATATTGGCCGACTTGTGTATTGAACGTCATATATAATAAAGAAAATTCACCTGAGAGCCGATTATTTTAGAAAGATAAAGTCGAATTGATAATTTTTTTATGACATTAGCTTATAAGACCTTCTTTTATTAAAAAAATCTTCGTATTTTTTATGCTACGAGTATCGTCCAAATATGTCGTTGAAACAAATATGCCCATTTATACCAGGCTATTTATTGAGATATTTTCTTTTCATATTAGATTTTAAAAATCAATTATTAGATATGATTTTTTAAATTAGATAAATTTTGAAAGAATGAGAAGATAACTACAAACTAACATTTCTTGCAGTTTTCGACTGGATTATTGTCATTTGATCTATAAAAACGTTTGCTTTTATAGATAAATAAATAAAAAATTTTAAATAATAAATAATAAATAAATTTTAAATAAAAAAATTTATTTGCCAACTTATAAATGTTTTAGACCACTTTTAATACATCTCACCACGAAACCTATTGAATTATAAAAAATGAGTGAATATAATCATTGAAAGTTTAGATACAATTCTACTTTGGAATCGAATAAAATACAAAACGTTGACAATGAAATATAATTATTTTTGCCGGTAATCTGAAGGTTGGATTTATTTCTTGTCGAGGCCTCAATTCCATTTTTGTTTTAGCTATAAGACTTGTCTTCTGATAATAAAAGTACACACCCATTTTTGTGAGATAAATATTTTGCTATCAAATACTTACATCTTGAAAAGTAATCGACTTTATCAATCTTTCATTGTGCATTATAAGTCTTGTGTGGGATACTGCAACAATGGCGCTCGACAAAAAAAAGCTCACAAAGAAAATGGGCAAAAGAAACTCACAACAAATAAAATTTAAGTGTCTCTTCACTAATTTCTCTGTATGTAATTTATCACAAGTAGAGTAAGCGTTGCAAGATGCAATAAAATTATAAAAATCGAGAGAGCCAAAGTAGATTCAAAGACTTGACGATTTTTTGCCGGCGTATTGTCACAACGTACAATCGAGTCTGATTTTACGCGAAATTTCGAAATTCAAACTCGCGCTCGGGCTGTTCCAATGCTCTATCAATATATTATATGTGTGTGTAGTATATAGTGAGTAGTACATTCCCGTGAGATAATATTAATGGGACAGTATTTAAACAGAGTAGATTAGATTATAAGTGTGATGTATGAAAAGTATACAAACCGACTTTGAAAAAACTGAACTTTCATGAACTTTCAAGATTGTCAATTACTCTCTTATTTTTGTTTATGATTTTAGGATGAAGATAATTCTAGTCAAATATAGTCCAAGCCAATGGAACCATACATATATCGCTGAAGGAAGCGAACATATTTAACCAATCGTAGTCAAAAGGTACTCCCTATATAAAGAGTACAGTAGTGGAGCATTCAAAAAATGAAAAAAATCGAAAAACAAACAAAAGTGAAAAAAAAAAGATAAAATCATGCAACTCGAGCTAAGCGATGTCCGTTTGAATTACGGTACAGGTAATGGCATGGTACAGCTACCTAGTATAATATTGACATCAGTCACAATGGCAGTAACAACAACTGGCAGCCATAAAATGACATGATTCAAACGTTAATTGAAGAAAAACAAACTAACGTAATATTTAAGTCGCAAAATAAGCATATTTAATGATGAAAATCAGATTAATGATAAAAAATCTAGTGATATTAAAATTGAGATTAAAGTATATTGACGCAATGATTCAACTTTTAAATAATAAGTGTGCAAATATATTGACACATCTATAACATCGATGATATATTGTGGAGCTTTATCTAACTCTTCACTCATTAGGTATGTGTCATTGCACGTTAATATAATCAATCAGCTGGAACAGAACGCGAGTCACGAGTTAAGTTTCTTCGAAGTTGACGGGTATCAACGGACTTGTGTATGTTGATGACTAAATCGCGGCAAAGGGATACGCGATAAAGTCGGTTTACTTGTAATATGTAGATTCTTTGATGTCTTGTATTAAGTTAATTGAAATATTAACAATAAGATGCACGCTGACTTTCCTTTGTGGAAAACTTTTTGCAATATTTATATTCAAATTTGAAATGTGATTGGATCAATACGGTAATTAAATATATATACGCATTGATTGATTAAATTTGATTTAAGAAATAAATTCGAAAAAACTATTATTGAGTTTTTTAGTTCAACGTTATGTTTCTAATTGATAAAATTTAGTGTGAAACGTAGAAAGTTTTCCCAAAGGTGGTAGAATAGATGAAGATAATCGTTTTTTATAGTTTCTTAAGGTGTGATACACCGTTACATAGTATTTTTAAATATTATAAAACGTAATCCACTATATCCTTCAATTAGATTATTTTGTAATTGTAAGAAAAAGAACTTGGCAACTCTATACTGAAGTCAATATACCAATTTAAAAATTATTCTTAAAAAATAACAGTTTCAAAACTAATAGCATTCGCATGGATGGAAACAAATCTAATTGAAGGATTTTTTAGAATAAATGCGAAATTTCGCAATTATCATGGTGCACTTAAGCAAGACTTACAAAAAGAGAAAGTAAACAGACATATCAGTATCAATTATATATCATATAATGTGGTGATTACTATTATATTGAGAATCAATGAAATTTTGAGAAATTTTTGCTGGCTTTTTAGATAAGCATATATAATTGAAGTCAATCTGCGAATCTAAATCTGTGACTTTTATTTATACCAGTAACAGAAATATTAAACAAAGCTTTAAGCTCTTAATCTTCGGCATAATATAAGTTCAAATGTTTATATGATGGAATTTGAGTAACGATAATTTACTCAAAGCATCAAATTTATCAAGAAATTATAATAATCTGATTTAGATAGATAAGAGAAATAAAAACGAAATGTTATATTTTCATAATTTAATCGAATATTCACCAAATAATTTTGCTATTTGCGCTTTATTATGTTTCAAATGTATTTTATGTGTAATGTATATTGTGATATTGCGTTATTGTGCAATCATACGCAGAAACACCAAACAACCAAAAACCAAGATTGGAGATACGTTAGCCAGTTCGCGTTACCGATCTCAGTTGTAGCACACAATTTATTACAAAGCTCTATATTATTATAACTATTTCTAATAAACATAACGTACAGTCGTTTCCACGTGAAAAATAATTCTCTATGTGTGATAACTGTGTACATATCATTCGCTACTAAGATTGATAATCGTGTGATTAAATAAGAAAGTAAGCAAGCTCAAGCGACCTATAGCGCGTGCAAATTTAAAAAAATCCATAGTTTATGAAGCAGGAATCCCCATCCAAATATTAAGCCCACTAATATGTGTGTCTATATTGCGTGAATTATACACGCACGTGGACCGAGTGTGCGGCCGTGAGTGTATAATGCAAATAATAAATTATAATAAAGATAAGAAAAAAAAAGTAGATTGTACCTAGCAAACATTCATTTATTGACCTTATCCACATAGACTCCCTGATTTTCATAATTTTGATTGATGACTGAATTGTGTGTTTGCATAAAACTACCAGCAATTATTCAGTAGTTGCAATCTATCAATCATCACCATATCAGATTTCTTATATATTCTGCTTCCTATAAACGGCATTTCAGCCATTACATTTTTAATTAAATAATTGTATATCCATCTAAACTAAAAATTCTCTGTAATATCATAATAATGCTTTTTCCATTACTTTTCACATTACAAATATAATCCGAATCAAAGTATTTTTAATCATTATAATCATTAAAAAAAGTTTAATTTATAGAAACAGTAATAAACTTTAAAACTTACAGGATATAATCATACTTTAGAATAATTTTTTAAAGAAATTAAAAGTATAATGAGTATAATTAGTATAAATATTTCAAACAAACTGTATTTTTAAATTAAAATTCATCTAAAAGTGAATAACTTTACGTAAATTTCCTGTGTTTTCTATTATTTAATTGAAGATCTATGAACAAGCATATGTGCTTGATTTCAAAATCAAAGAACCACCACTGTACACGCATCAAATCGGTTCACAAAATCCGGGTCCAGTACTCAAATCAGACTGACACTCAGTTCATTTTGATAGCAATTTAATCCAAACGGTGCCTAGAAAATATGTAGTCAAAAATACGCTTTTAGTTTGTTAGTATTTTTGGAAGATTATTAGAATTACTTTTATAAAAAAATAATAGAATTTAAACATACTATTTAAAGCGATAGGTAAAAGTTCACAATGAATGTGTTTCACATGAAAAATTCCATATGATACATAACTTTACATTATAGTAACTACCATTAATTTATAAAAAAATTCGACTAATATTTGCGTAGAAGAATTTTTTTTTCAAAAGTGCATTAACGATTTTATAGTTATACATGAAATGCAGAGCTTTAAAAATAAAAAAATTACATTGTAGTTAAAAAAAACGAAGTGGAATATCTATTGCAAACCCTCATATTTTTACCTTATCCACATCTGCTTCCTGATTTAAATTTGTTTAATGGATAAGTAAATAAATCGTATATTTGCATAAAATTACAAACGATTATTTCTATAGTTACGAACTATTAATCACCCCTATATCAGATTTTTTAGATAATTTACTTCCTACAAACAATTTACCGTTATAATAAATTGCACAGCCCCCTTCTGACAAGTAAATTTAATAGGCACTTATGAAATCTTAACTATGCATAAATTTTTTACATTTTTCATTTTAAATAACAATATAAAATAATGTTTTCAATTTTTTTCTTGCTAACAACGACAATTTTTGCAAAATTTTATGGGTCCTCTCCTTCAGTTCCTCTCGTTCGCTCATCTTGTTAATATGAGACCTCGTCGTATACCCGATAAGAATTATACTATTTATGTCAATTCCATTATCGAAACACTACTATGACTTCATTTTATTGAAAGTCTTAACAATTATCAGCTTTCTTTCTTTTATATAATAAATTAAATACCTGTCGCTTAAAAACCGAATAGCATAAGGATTTAATAGGATTTCGGTAAAAATTAAAGGTGAGAAATTTAGATTTTGAAAAATATGTTTATTTAGCATTTTATCTTTAACGAAGTAGCTTGCAAGTAAAAGCTACGGAACATTTAAATTCAAAAATATTTGGCACGATACGTTGATTGCTGGACTCGATTGTAGCTCTGATTCTGCTATGAAAAAAATCCTCTTCGTTTTTCTTAGCGATTTTTTTGCATCCTGATATGTGCAAGTTATTTTTAGGTTTATTCATTATTTATGATTTTTATTTTAAGATTAAAATGCTGAAAACAATGACAAGTTATAAATCATTATCGCCCTATCGCTTAAATATCTATCGAAAAAGACAAATAAAAAATAATTACAGACAGTTATAATCGATAAATATTATTAAGAAATTGCGAACAAATACTGTTGTGAATACATGGAATCACTGACGGTTATAAAAAATATGTTATTTTCTTAAAACTTATATGACTCGTAGTACATAATTAAAATTTACTTTGATTTCAATTTTTGCACTATATGCCAAATCGAAGCAGACAGGCACTTTCGTTTATTTAGAAAAGCAACTCGGGACAAAGTTGATCTTCGATCGTTGCACGTATTTATAACAGCCGAAAATCCATCCAGCGGCAGAGTCGATAAGCTTGCCAACAATGTCGTATTCATTACATCAACATTCATTACATATTCAAATAATTCGTAAAAACCATTGTTAAAAATGTCTTAGTTTTTGCATCGCTAGATAAATCTAGAGATGTTTTGGCATGGCATTACTCACTAACATTTTTATAAACAATTTATAATAGGCATTTTTTGTGTCGAAATACTCATTTCTTTACCAATGTTTTTTTTATGATTTGCCTTAATTCCTCTTCATTAATTCAGTTGATTAACTACAATTGAGAGACGATTAAAAAAAATTTCTCTCCATTAGAGCGTGCTTATATCAATGAAGATATTAATCTTCTCATAATATTATTAGAAAATTCAAGCCTTGTTAGTCTTTTTTTATTATATTCAATTACAAGATATTATCTTTTTTTAATTTTAATTATGTCAATTTTAGTTTTATCGAGTTCCCTCAAATCAAAATCGATATTTGTACAAATAACATATTGATGATGCCACTTTCAAGGAATTCATATAAGGTGATTTGTAAATATTTGAATAAACAATAAAGCAACACACTATTTATAAATAAATGCTCATGGGACCGGAAATGAATCAATGAAATTAAAAAAATGTAGACTAGAAATTGAAACAGAAATAGAACTGGAACGTGGTTTATTTGACGTGTCTTTCAAAGATAACATAACCTCAGATTACTATAGTGATTCCAATAAATATATTTATTAATTATTTTTAATATATTTTGTGATATAATACGTTTATTAAAAATGACTGAAGAACATTTTGTTCCACCAAAAGCGCCGAAGGATTTATGTTTCAACGAAACAGATTTTATTCAGGTAGAGTAAAATAAAAATTTCTGCAATAATCTACATAAAACTGCTTAAAAGTATAAACTATCATATCGCTCTTAATGCAATATTTTATTTGAAAATTGCTTTTCAGAATGATTTTGATACGGATGCTTTTTTACAAGAACATAGGAAAAATGTCAGTCTTGAGAAAATGCGAGACGATCTCGGGGTTTACTTAAAAATACTTAGATCAGCTATGATAGAGCTAATTAATAAAGATTATGCTGATTTTGTAAATCTTTCTAGCAATTTAATAGGCTTAGATAAAGCTATTGATAATTTAGAGGTGCCCTTAGGTAAACTGAAAGAAGAAGTATTGGTAATAATGAACTATAAAAACTTTATGACAAGTACTGTTTTTGATGATCAATTTAATTGTCAATTAATATTTTTTAAATTATAGCAAGTACAACAGACTTTAGATAATACTATTTCAGAGATGACAGAGAACTTGGATAAACATAAAGAAATACGAGATAGGAAACAAAATATTCATAGTTTAATAAGATTTCACAAATCTATATCAAAAATGTGCAATATTCTCAATTCTTGTGATATGACAAAGATTAACTTAAAACCAGATGTTTTAGAACGTGCTGCGACTGAATTTAATCAGTTGAAATTTCACACAAGTCGTTGCAAATCTGAGCTTTCTACAGACCAAATCAGCGTAAGAAAACAAAATTAAATTTAACAGATAAAATAGTTTTTAATCACCAAATTTTAAAAAATTTCTATTTATTGTTATGTAGAAAATGGGTGAATTGGATGAGTGCCTCAAAAAAAGTTTGAGCTCATTACTAATAGCCTATGTAAACAGAAATGAAACTGCATCATTAATAAGATGTTTGAGAATATATGTGAGTCTCGATAAAGTGGCAGATGCAGAAGAAGTTGTCAGAAAGAAGATTGTAGTGCCTGCCGTAGAAAATATTATAAGTGAACACACCTTCCAAAACGACCCATTGGGCTTGAAAGGTACTTACCAAAAACTAGAGAAAGTACTGGATAATATTTTAAGAGAACTTTTAGAATTAACTTTACAACCTGATAGGTAATTAATTTAAGTAATACTATATTGTTTTACTACATTAAAAGTTCAGAAAATATTTATGAATTGAAAATTTTGTAGGATTACAGTAAAAGGTTTTAATTTCTTAGTGAATAGTTATTGGCCTGAAGTTGAGCAGAGAATAGAAGATTACTTACCAATCATATTCGCACCAGGAAATCCAGAATTATTTCACAAAGTAAATTTTCTTTTATTTATACAATGAATTTTTTATAAAATACATACTAAATTTAGTTAATTTACAATTTTAGAGATATACAGAAACATTGGATTTCTTGTTGAGCTTTGAAAGAAAATGTTGTACACCAGAGGTTGTTAATAGTCTGAAAAGTCATCCTCAGTACAAAAGATTTCTAAAAAAATGGAATTTACCAGTTTATTTTCAAATAAGGTTCCAAGAAATAGCTGGCACTGCAGAAAGTGTTTTATCTGCAAATGTTTCTGCAGCTTCAATAAGAAAAAACGAAAATTCTTTAAACCCAGACGATTTTACACTTCATGCAACAAATATAGTGTGGGACTGTTTATTAAGAATTTGGGCAAAAGAAGTTTTTCTTCCACAATTGTTACACAGGTAATTATTTAAATTTTATTTAAAAGGACATATGGTTTATTACTTACATAAAAATTTATAGGTTTTGGAAATTGTGCCTTCAACTGTGTTCTAGATATCAGGAGTGGATTCGTAATTCCTTGAAACAGGTAAATAATTCTAAAAATCATTACATAAAAAATAAAAATAATTAAAAATTAATAAAATATGTTATTTCAGGTTTGGCCTGTTACTACTGTAAATGAAACTGGTCGTAATTCAGAAGTAGACAATTCTCAAAGACTCGAATTTCTCGTCGGTCTTTACAGCGATATTGAAAAACTTTCCACAAAAATGTCTAATTTTATAATTATGATAAGCGATAGAATATTATTCCTGAGTCCTGATGTTATAAACTTACTCAATGGTAAATTTCATTCCTTCAATTTATCAAATAGTATAGTAAAAAAACCAATTGAATTATTTCCAAATTTATAACATTATCTTATACATTTTCGCGCTTGTTTACGCAATATTAAACTATAAAACAAAATACAGAAAGCTTCTTTGAATAGCAAACTTTATTCTATTCCCGTCTGTCACCACAGACCAATTACGATTAATTCAATATTCCATATTCAATATTTCAAGCTCATCAGAGAGCGTCACATAAACATATTTATCGCATTTGCGAACAAAAAATAAAATGTTTGTTTTTCCAATCCTAACAGAATGTACGACGGAAACAGTAAAGAATCTTCAGAATTGTCAAGAACCAGTGACACAGGAAATTATAAAAGAGCTTTTGGCACATAGTGCCATCCATTTACGCCAAATAAGCGACATTCCAAGATTATTCCGGCGAACCAATCGAGAAGTGCCTACGAAACCGTGCGCCTATGTGAAACGAGCTCTCGATTTTTTCACTACATTTTATGCCGATTATAAGAAAACTTCTCCTCAAAATATTCGGCAATGGCTTGTGCTTGCACTTACCGCATTGACTGAACAGTAAGAAGATTTAATATTAAAACTTTATACAATGTCATGAAAAATTTTGTGATAATACTTTCACTTACAAAAAGAACCTTTAATAACCGATCTGCAGTTTTCTTATATTTTTACTAATTGTAAACTGTTAAGTCATATCGCTGTTGAGTATTTCGGTTATATATTTCGTTACAGTGATTGAAATAAAAACATTTATATTAACCTCGAGGTGATTTCAAATACTACTTTGACGATATTGAATAATTTAAGCATTTCTTTGTCAACAGATATATGTCTTGCGTGAAAGACGTATTAACATCCATCCAGAAAATGGAAGAAAGCTTAAGAAGGTTGAAGAAAGGATTGAGAGACAAATCATTAGGAACTTCGGCAACTGAAAATCAAGGCACAAGCGACGATGATAAAATTCGTGTACAGTTATACATTGATGTTTTGAGTTACATTGAAATAGTAATATATTTGTTCAGTTTATGACTAACGTATAATTTAAAAAATGAATTAACAGTTTATATCTATTTTTAGATAAAAGATTTTGATATCAAAGAAGAAGACGTAGGAAATTTAAAAGATTTATTGGAAATTGTTGAAGCTGCAGTAAAAAATAAACTCGAGCTTAAGTAATATTTTGAACATTAATTTGCACTAATAGGACATCTTCAAATGCTCTAGTGATTTTGAAGAGTACGTTAATTATTTATTACTCTATCAAATATAAATAATTGCTTTGCTGTTTTTCAAGATGCACGTAAATCTTACGTTCTTCTACAATATGACGTAATTTCTATTTAAATAAGTTTTCTAAAAAAATCGTAGAAATGTTGCATGGCATTTATACTTATTGCCGTTAGTTTTAGTGAAAAAAATCCTAGCACCTAAGTAATAGCATTAGATACTATATCCACAGATCTGTTACAAAACATTCAATGCTATTACAATGACTCATATTATTTTTTTCTTAATAAATCCTTTCTCTGGAAGTTTTCAAACATTATATTTTTACTGCGATACACACTACAAGTAAATAATTCATTTTCATTTTTTTAAATCAGGCTCCTAATAACTAAGGATCCAAGGGAAAGGTCATGGTAGTCTGCACGCCATTCGAAGACCTGCTAGCGACGGAAACGCTCACTCATCCTTTTCAATGAGATTAAGAAACCTCGCAAAATCACACGCGCGCCATTCCGAAACACGTCAATGGTCGGCTATAAAAATCAGCGTGCAAGTCTCGCGCGCAAGCCAGTTCAAATCTGAAGTGCTAGTCAGAATGGTCGTCAATTTCAAAGTATTCAAGAAATGTTCTCCCAACGCCAAAATCGCGCTTTACCTTGGTAAGCGCGACTTCATCGACTATCTGAGTGGTATCGAACCTATCGACGGTGTCGTTCTTCTCGACCCTTCCTACATCGACAACCAGAGGAAAATATGGATCCAATTAGTCTGCAGTTTTCGTTACGGACGCGAAGAGGACGAGGTAATGGGGTTGAATTTTCAAAAGGAGCTTTACCTGTGCAGTGAGCAGCTATATCCTAGAGTCAAGAAGGTGGAGCAGAATTTGACGAAGCTTCAAGAACGTCTACTCAAGAAACTTGGTAACAATGCGATTCCATTCATCTTTGAATTTCCTCAATCAGCACCATCGAGCGTTACTCTACAACCTGGGCCCGAAGAAGTCGGCGAGCCTTGCGGTGTTAGTTACGTCGTGAAGGTTTACGCTGGCGATACTGAGACGGATATTACACACAAACGTAGCACCGTTGCAATGACTATCCGTAAGATTCAGTACGCTCCTACCAAACAAGGTCGTCAACCTTGCACAGTCGTACGCAAAGATTTCTTACTCAGTCCCGGGGAATTGGAACTGGAGGTCACGCTCGATAAGCAATTATATCATCACGGAGAGAGAATCGCAGTGAACGTATGCGTGCGCAACAACAGCAACAAGGTGGTGAAGAAAATCAAGGCGTTGGTACAGCAAGGTATTGACGTGGTGATCTTCCAAAATGGCCAGTTCCGTACTGTGATCGATGCAGTTGAGACTCAAGACGGATGCCCAATTAATCCAGGATCGAACCTTCAAAAAGTACTGTACCTACAGCCTCAGATGGAAAATAATCGACAGAGGCGCGGTATTGCCCTCGATGGTCAACTCAAAGGTGATCAGAGCGAATTAGCATCCAGTACATTACTTACCAGTCCTGATGCAAGAGATACCTTTGGTATTGTCGTTTCTTATGCCGTTAAGGTAAAATTGTATCTGGGAGCATTGGGTGGAGAATTATCAGCCGAATTGCCGTTCATCATGATGAGACAAAAACCCAGCGATAGATTGAGACTTATCACCAGGGATGACACTGTTGCTATCGAACATATGGTTGATGACAAGGGCAAAGAAAATATCAAAGCTTAAGTTGTTTGTTTTTTTCGTTCGTTGTTTTTTTTCCTTAGTTTACATGAGTACGGCTTCGTAGGATTATTTGTCGCGTGTATTACATTAGCTATCTATGTATTTAACTAATTATGATAAAGGGATCTTGCAAATCCAATTGGCAGAATGTGTTATGTAAAGTTACGTTATGTATCTTTTCACGTTACTTCTAGTCCGTCTTTACATCTGTATTTTGCTTTTGCTTTTCTTTTCAATAATTACTTTAAACAATTTTCAAAAAAAATTTTGCGATTCTTAATAAATGTACAGTTATTTGTAAAAATTGTCAACATTATTTTTACCAATAGAGATAATTAATGTTTATAAATTTATTTATTGTGAAACTTATTTGTAAAGTAATTGTTATTATATATCTTCTTTGACTGAATACAAAGGTGTGGAGTTGTAATGTGTGCATGGTATGAAAAGGTGACGAACGACGCTCAGTATTTTAATTAATTATTTATCGATTCAATTAAAAAAAATATCCTTTTTATGTTTGCTCGCTTTATGCTATGTAAAATTAATATTTAGAACTACAAGCAATCTGAATTAAAAATACACCAATACTTTCTAATTCCATATTAAATTTAATTAAACTTACCGCATGTTATTATTTACTAAAAAAACATTTTTATGATTGATTATTATTTTTAAATACAGATTTGATACACCTCCAGTATAGATTAAATTCATTTAATATTAAAAATAATTTCTGTACTGTTATGTTTAGATTTAGGCAATAATTTATTCCTTATTATTTTCAAACTTTTACAATGAAAAATTTTTACAATTAAAAACGTAAATTTGAATTGGTGATCGTAACTAGTGTGCACATACACATATATTTATATGATTTTGTTAATAACAAAAATAAAAAAAGATAAAATATCTATTAATAATATCTGTGTTTTTTATTGTTGTTGCCCTATTCTTTATTATGAAAATATTTTAGTCAAGTCGTGTTACTGAAACAGCCCACATGTTTTTTTTTAAACGTGTCCATAAAGTATATTAAAAGCAACTAAGATAGACGCTTACTGTCACTATTATAATTTTAGGTTCTATTAAATTTATAACATGTTAATTGTTTATGATTTATAAATAAATAATCTCTTCATTTTAAAAACCATAAATACTTTAAAATGTTGAAAGAATAACACATCGATCCTTTTCAGGATCTTCGTGTAGGCATAATAGAAGCGCTCAAATTAAGAGCAGCATAGACAAGACCCATGCTCTGAGTAGGGAATACGTGATCGGAGATCCGAATTCCATAGTACTAGCACACTTGCGCAACTGATTCAACTGAGCCCGTAGTCTTATGATTTACTTATCAATATTAAATTTGTAGGCCACGAGCGACAATAAATTCAGACTTTTCGTGTGCAATATAATTTTGCTCCCCGCGTTGCAATTGACCATTAAAAATTGAATTAAACGTATCCGTGTCACGTTGAAAAGATAAAATAAATGTCCCTGGAGTATTCAAGCTGGAGAAATTAAAGAATGTGCGTCCGAGTGATTATGTAATTTTTTCGAGTGTATCGATTGGTTTTTTCAATTATTTTTTGAGACATCCGTTATTTTGACATTGCCACACATTTCAGACCAATAACTCGATGAATTTCGTTTGATTTTGAAAAATGTCAAGTGCTTATATTTTTAACTAATGTTGTCTAATGACATGCTTATGTATTTAATTTGTACTTATGGCTCTAACATAGTTGTTCCTAATTTAATTATTATTATTTGTCTTTTAAGTTATATTGACTTGAAAAGTTTATTTGAAATGATTAAATTTGAAATTTCTTTATTGGTATTTTTATTATTTTTCATCACTTTTCGCAAAGAAAAAACTGTTAGTTGCTATTTCGAATTTATGAGTTGATGTAATTCAATTGTTTAAAGTTCGGTATGAATCTCCGCTGGCTGAGATAATTTTGGTTAGTGCTCTGTTGAGACCTTAGAGACAGCGGTTTCGGCCGTCGTCTACCTGGAATTTGAAATTAAGGTATGACAGATTTAGCCTGCAAGATGAAACGCAAACTCAAGTACTAATTGTACCGAAATACTTTATTGTATTGCGAAGCTTCATTACACAAGTAGGACGGCTGGCAACGAGCTACAATTAAACCACATCATAAAACAATTGTTGGTACATTAAATAATTTAATACAGTTGGTAATAATTATGGTTTGTCGATGTGGCAGCAGTAATCGTAACCATTTTAATTTGCCGTACATAAATACACATAGCCGTATCGAGTGCCCCAGATTTGGAATAAAGTCCACCATTCAACCTTATATATAAAATTTAGTTGAAACAATTGCAACGAGTATTACGTATCTCAGATTCCATTTGTTACATGAGCAGGTAACAGGTGACAAGCGCGGTATTTAACTCGCAGGAGAAGCAAAGGCTTCATGAGAGGGGAAAATATAATCTGCTATTTGGACTCGCTTCGGGTGTACATTACGCACGTGCTGTAATGGATTTGCCCTCCTATTGGCTTCAGTAGATTCACCCAGCTTGCAATCGCTTCGTAGAATGACATACAATTTTTCGAGGCAAATTTTTCAACTGATTAAAGTGACATGGTGTCAAAAGCGGTTATTTCGAGACTGAATTGAAATATTTGTTGAGATTTCAGATGTGATCTACTCTACTTTACGCATGCTGAAAATCGAACCAATAGAGGAGCAAACGGACGTTCTTTGTTATATTTATAACTAGCTTATCATATTTTATCAAATGTAGGAGTCAATTGGACGATTGGTCAGAATTGTTACCGAAATTTCGACAACTAAATTTTCACCTGCAATAATTACTTTGCGATTTCACACAAATGAGTAAGTAGTTAGCGCAGAGAAGCTTAAATACAAGGCAGTAATCTGCGCATTTACATTGTTTTAAAAAATTAATTTTTAATGATATAATGATACATATGCAAATATACGTTTCATGAAAGTATAATCAAATTTTATTTTAGCCCAACACACAGATTGTCTTCATGCATGTGCATATTTGGACAACTTGAACAATAAATTGACGTATTCAATCAAACAAACAACAATTTTTTCCATTAACAAATTGATTTCAATTTTGTCTATGAAACATAGTTTAACATGAAATTTTTTGTAAATTTAACATTATTTTAATTTCCGTTACATTTTCTCGGCTATAAGAGCGAATCACACATATTCAAACATTAATTTAATTTTCTTATCAAAAGTTATAATAGTCATTAAGAAACCATCAATAACGGTTTTTTTTTAAAAAAGCTCAATTATTAATTCAGAAATTCTTGAAAACCACCACACACATGCACACGCATTATCGTACATTCCCAGCTTACGGCAGCCCGCTCAACGATATTTTAAGAGTCTCTCTCTCTCTCTCTCTCTTTCTCTCGCACGCGCATATATCCCCGCTTTTATATACCCTCTCCAGTCTCCTTTCTCTCTCCTATACGGCTGCACACACTACACGCGTCGCAGCGCACATTCGCTTAAACTCGCCGGCGGGCGCCAGGCAGCAGTCAGCCTCAGTCACGCTCTACACGCCGCTGTGGGAGGATCGCGCGCGTGGCCTCTCCGAAAATATATACACATACATAAATAAGTAACACTAATCTTACACATATATTTACGCATACTGGTACGTTTATTTTATTTTTTGGTCTTGTAACGTTAAAAAATCAAGTGCCGTGAGTGCTTTTCCATAAAGACAAGCAGATCGAAGCTGAGTTGTTGCTGCTACTACATCTTTTTTAGCGTGAGTATCGTGTATAAAATCTATACTATTATTTAAGTATTTTGAAAAGAATTGGCTTTTCAACGACGATGAGAGCTTGTATTATATATATCCACATAGATTCAGTTGTGTTTTAAGACTCTTCAAGAAAGAGAAAGATTCGTAAAATTTTTCACTATTTTTCCCGAGAACTAAATTGTCATGGCTGCGTGCGCGCGATGATGTGTTTTGGAGGAGAGAGCAAAATAGTTTTTATGAGCATGTTGGCCTAAAATTCGCGCATTCCTTTTGAAAAATATTAAGTGGCATTTAAGATCTGACAGGCACGACGTGAATTTATAAATTTCAGTCCTCCTGACACGCGAATTCCATATAGGCGATCAGCCGGCGAAATCTAAAAATACGTATTGATCGCTCGACTTCGATTTCGGTTGATAATAATAATAACGGGCGGTAAAATTCCAAGAGTGTGAAAAGTGCAAAAGGGTATTATACGTAGGTATGAGATTGGATCGCAGCTTTATTTTTACTTGTTCGCGGTAATACGACACCCGTACACTCTTTAAATAAGGTGTGCGCATCGTCGGGCCGCCGCCGCCGATTCAAGGACAAGAATGTTCTCTCTTTTTTTTCTCCGCTGGCCGGCCGGCGACGACGACGTCGAGATATATACCTATATGTAGCCGCAGGCTATTGATGCCGGATTGTGCCGCGATTTCTGCCTTACCAACTCTCTCAATAATCGCATAAACATTGTTTTTATTTTTGTTTTTGTAAGGGTTGTTACGAGTTATGTTATTACGAGTCTAGTTTTTATGTGCAACAGTTATTGAATAATTGTCTGTGTTTTTATTACATGAGTATTTTACCGCAACGCTTTGATATAATATTGATGGATACATAAATTTTAATTACGGAAACCAACATCTCCTTTATTTCCCCAATATTAATGGTTAACTATTACAGACTTCGATTGATGAGCCACGTATGAATAAATAATAAATAACCCAACTAGCTCCTACATTATATTTAACGATACATTATCGCAAGTACTAATTCCTTTTAGACTTGCTTATCGAAAAGCACGGCGAAAAAGCTTTAATTTTACAAGCCGCAATATCAATCGGACGCGGAAAAAGGGAGAGGAGAAAGGTCGTCCTACCGACTTTCATCCCCCCTCCCCCTCATAATAATGTGTACTTGGATAGCGCGCATTTTCCGCCCTCCCCTTTCTCTTCTATCGTGAAATTTCCCCATTGACGTGGAATTTTGGCAAAGGGACTCGGCTCGACCACGCTTGAGTGCCCCAGCGGCTCCTCCCGTTCTCTTTGTCGCGATCAATGTTGCTAATATTTTCGCGATACACGTCGACGGAGCGCATTTCACATTGGCATCTCATTTACTTCATGCAAAAGTTTTACGGACGTACGCTTCCAATTTATCCAGTCATTGGCATTTTCGTTTATCAAAGCCTGCCATTTCTAGATTAGAAAAGTAGTAAACACTACGCACTACACTGTAAGCTTTAGCTCGCAAATTGGCTAACAATGTTTGTTTACATTTTAATAGGCCAGTCTAACGTATTCTATTACCGCGTAGGCTCCGTCAGTGTTTTTGTTTTCAAGTGGTTTTTAAACTTTGTAAACAGGTATTTTAAGTCGCTTGCTTCAGCGTATTCTCTTGGAAAGATGCTTTCTCCCTCGTATTTGTGATAAGCCGCGCAGATTTTCTTACATTGCAACAGGAAAATCGATGAGGTTGTGTGATAATGACGGCAAATGTATTTTCTCTCTGTATTTATGGTAATAATCGAGATTTGATAATTTATTTGATAATTTATTTGGTAATAAGGTCTTATATTTAGTGAGATAGAGAGGAGATATCGGGCACATAAGTAAATTTCTTACTCGACAATGCAGTTTGCAAAATATACTACTTGAAAAAGGATCGCAAGGTTGTATAAAAGATTAAAAAAATCAACGATCATCTCTTGAGACTGAGCCAAATCAAAGAGAAAAAGCAAGCCCAGGGGTAAAGAAAAGAACAATCAACTTGGCATAATAATAATCGCGTGTCATGGGTGTAGAGGTCGAAGCGCATCGCATATACCCAGGCGCGCGCGCATCCCTTCGCAGACGCTGGCATTGATTTCCTCTCCTCCGTCGGCGTCGACGGCGGCAACAGCGCCAGACTAAGGAGCCTCTTTTCCCTCCTCGCGATAAAGCGAAAGCACAAGGTCGGAGGGCAAAAAATTCCAGAAAGGGAAGACGATAAGACGCGTTTCTTTTTCGTCTGGCGAACAGGTGTTTTGTTTGATTGTCCATTTCTTTTTGGGCTGATTGGCTTTTCTCAATGTTGATGCTTCAGAGGATTTATGGATTTCAGCAAATAGGTATATGTGACCTTGTCTTCGCTCGCGAGTAGTCTCTTTTCTCCTCCAAACGAGCTTAGCACTATTAGTATCACTCTTCTCTCTCATGCGAACAATAAAACCGAAATTATGTATGAGTTAAATTTTTTTGAATGTTACAGTTTGTTACTTCAAATTGCTCGCAAACTCTACACAGAAAGAAACTGCTCTACACTCGAATTTTCAATAGAAATTACTATTTTATTTCCGGGATATCTTCTTTTTTTATTATAAACGAACAAAAATTAAAATATCTGTTGTATTTTAAAACGTCCTTGTTTTCTAGTTTTTAAAATATTTCTTATTATTAGTAAAAGCTACGATCCAACATATATCATTCCTTAAAATAAGAAAATTTTCAATAGCCATTGAAAATTTGCGAACTACATTGAAATTTAACATCAACAAAGTGTGACATAACACAAAAAATATTCTCTTTCATTCATAAAAAAATAATTTCAGTTAAAATGAAAAACATTCAATTAACGTACATGCTTTGCGTTTAAAAATAAAACGAGTAAGACCTTATCGATGTACGATTCATGTTACTTTTCGCAATAACATTGGTAATGATAAAGTAGAGTTTGCTCGATTTTCTCTTGGTGTCACGTTCACGGGCACTCAGCTTTTCAACGGTACATGCAGGCATTTTTATATCTTCTTAAAATGGTTTCTGTGCGTTTATCGAACAAGGAAGGGAAATATTATTGCATGGCAATTTAACTTTCTGGCTCTTCGACTGACTCTTAATTCGGGTTTTGCGCTACTAAAAATATTTTTCCACACTCGTAAAAGCCGCGTTTACTTTTACTGATATACACTTTCATGAATTTTCGTGACGCCAACGCTTCAACATGTTCTTTAAATGAAACCTGACTTTTGTCAAGATCAAAAGAAAAGTAAAATCTTTATTTAAATTTCAAATTTTTTTCTTCAAGACATTCACATTCCACCGCGATGTGAGATGAATCACATTTTATTTGCAAAGCGATAAAAATCCGTGACTAAAACGTTTTAATAAGAAGAGGGTTTCCCGGTAACCTTATCACTACTACTTTTATCAACCTTTTGAGAAAAAACTCGCGCGTGTGCCAATAAAAAAAAAGGTGAAGACACGTGAACTATAGCAACAAACTGGTGAAGTTCTACAAAGAGATTCGTGTGTACGTCGATCGCATCGAGGGACGTAACACACGAACGACCTTGGCTGGCATCTTAGCTGGTTTCACCGGTCATAAGTGTTCTCTCTCTCTCTCTTTCTCTCTCTTTTCCTGAGGTATGCGCGTATGTTACGTGAAAATTAAGGCCACACTTTCGCCTCTTTCGAATACATACAAGTATATGTATATTACGCTTCCGGTTGTATATGGGTGAACGGGATACTATTGGAATTTCGATGATATGAATGTTTTTTATTCAAATGCAGTCTATTATATTAGACGTATATACCGTTAGGATTCTAAGCTGAGTGTGCGCGGACAAGTCATCGTTGTCATCGTTGGTTTGCTGATCGGATTAACTTCTGAGCTGCTTGATACCTTTTTTTTTATTAGTTTTTCGCGTCATAAAATCGTGTGCTGGAATACACAATGTTTGTAAATTTGATTTGCAGTCATGGAGTGATAGGCTTGTGTCCTTATTTCGTTTAGACTTACGATATTTAATTGAGGATAAAGAGAACATCGCAATAATTGCAACGGTACAATTTAATCGATGTTATAAATTGTTGATGAACTAACATTTTAATACATCCTATCACGATATATGCTCCAATTTATTTAATTCAACGTTGAATTTATTTAAATAAGGCGTTTGAATTTTGGACTCATTTAATCACCTTATTACTGAATTAAGCACTTGCTATTATAAAAATGGGTTAAATTAACCAGACGTAATTGACATAGATTAATGTACCTATGTGAATAATTGATAACAGGAATTTTTTTTATTTTCCCTATAACTAGAAAAGATGCTCTTTAAAATATTAATAAACAAAATATATCGATTACATATTTGCTAAGAAGTCGTAGTTGATACGAAGAAAATAATAAATTAATAGTAATCGTGATCTCCTAAATCTTTCCGCATGGCTAAACCCAACCACCCCTTTTTACGAAGAGATTCCCGATTCTCATACCATCATATCTGGTCCTTTAACGGTAAGGGAGTAACGGTGTTTCTCTCATTTCATTTTGAGAACGTCCCTGGCGAACAGCTCGACAGACCTCCAACTATCCTCACTAAGGAGCATAGTCGAAATAATGTTGTCAGGTGTGTAGTGTCCGCCTAGGACGTTCTCCAGTTCTCCCCTACGCTCTGCCCAGCGACTGCAGCAGAAAATCATGTGTCCTCTACCCGGGTCGAGTAATAGTGACACCACGGTGCAGCCGCCCTTTCTAACCGGTGTAAGTACCGATATAAGATGATATGAACTTTTGTCGCTGCTCTCTGGCTAACCATTTGATGGGTATCATCCCGGCAATGATTACCTGAAAATCGTCTACAAGGTCACTATTAAAGGTGAGGGTCACTACCTCTGATAATACAGATCCCTTCCAGCATCCCAAGACAAAAAAGAGCGTTGTATAAGAGGAACCACAAGATGGGTCTC